GGATCTGGTGAGAAGGCGGGGAAGATGCTGGTAGGATACACATGTGAGTCATTGGGAACAGGATTCCCTGGAGTGCCATCTGCTGTGTATAAAATGAGCCCTCTGAGAAGCAGGAGGGGAGAATCATATCACCAGGGAAAGCCAGGAGAGAGAGCACATCCTCTGGTCCCAAGATCTCTGCTCAGTGAACCTCCTGGATGCAGGTGAAAGCTAGACCATCAGAGGCACGGGAGCAGAACCAGGAGTCAGAGCAAGAGACAGAATGATGGACACCCCAACTGTGGCAGTCACATAATCAATCTCCTGTCAACTTGAGTGAAGGGGTGGAGTCTAGCCTGTCAATCAAGTCGCAGCTTGACCTCATACAGAGGCACTATTGAGATAAATAGCTCCCTGGAGGCCAGATCCAGCACTCTCTCTTCCTTCCCTTTTCTGCTGTTTAGCCAGGAAGCTGGAGGAGCAACGTGGAGACCCACGCTAGCACTATGATGTTTCCACTGCCACTGGAGCCACAAGACTTTCTACCCACTGGCCTGTGATCTTCCTGCATTCGCCATCATTGCATGTGTTGTGTGAATCTAAAGAGGAATTTATGGACTCGTATCAGATATATGGGCTAATATCAGATTTATGGACTTGATCTGGACTGGACTGGGATGTTTTCTCAATATACAATTGCTCTTTAATATAGAGCTCTTTCTTAAACACGAGTATCTCTGGAATTGTTTCTCTAGTCAACCTGGACTAACACACCAACTCACGGAGCAAGCTGAGTGCTTTTGTGCAGGAGCCTGGCTTTTGGAGTGGGGTGCCTCTGTGCACTTAATTGGGGGAGTTGGACATGTTAACCCACAGATGTGGAGGTGAGTGCCTTGTGGCTGAGACTTAGAGCCAAGGTATACGCCCAACAAATACTTTTTGTGTCCAATGTTCCCCTTCAGCAGCGTGGGTTACTCAAATTTTAGTATGCATGAGGTTACCTGCAGAGCTTCTTAAAAATGTTAAGTGCGTGGGCCTCACCCCCCAAAATTCTAGAATGAAAGACATTCTATATTTTACACAAGCACGCCAGGCTATTCTGCCACCGATGGTCCAGGGACCACACTAGAACCCTGATTTAGTCTAGAACAGTCACTTCCACTCTTCCATGATACAAGTCACCCCATTGCTTTATAAAGACACGCCTACTTCTCACTTACCAACTATCTTGTTACTCGCCACTTCACATTTACAACAAGATTAAAAAGTCTACTCTGACTATTTTGTGTGTGAGAAATATACAGCTGGTAGTTAGGAATGCTGAGGTGTGAGCCGAAAAAAGCACTAACTGTGACAGTGATGGTTATGTGTCAACCTGGCTGGGTCATGATTCTGGGTGACTTGGCAGTTCTGGATTGCTGTAGTCATCCTGTATCCTGTGACCTGACCGGGTCGGCCTCCATTTTCACATCATCACCTGTCTCTGGAACCGAACCATGTGGAGCTTGGCTGTAGAACTTTCTAGGTGCATGTTCACCTGGAACAGTTAAGCAACTAGAGAGTGCATTTTAAAACTAAAACTCTGGCAAAGGAAATTTCATCAATCTGTAATGGGACCTGTAAATGAATAGTTTTAAAGAGCACTCCAGGTAACTCTTCTCAAGATTTTAGAAACACAGAACCAGGGAATAAGGAAAAGATGCCCAACATTAGGAGACTTCTAACTTTTTCACTTGATATTCCCTACATGAATTTTGGGCAACTTTTCTTGTTTAAATTGGTATCTAAGATGTTTCATCATAAATTTAAATTGCTCCAAGGGATCTGATGAACAGTAATTGCTGTTTGAGAATACAGTTCAACACTACACTTTCAAGTGCATTAAAAGGAATCTAACACCAGGATTCAATATTCACCATCAGTCAGCTTTTTTAAAAAGTTATCATTCCCCTTTTTAAAAAGTGATGAAAGAGAAAGCTGTTTACCCCAGTAGATTTTTCACTGTTTTCATGGATTCAAACTGATGTTCCTCCATACAGAGAGACATACACAAGTCACGGGGTGGGGAGCTTGACGCAATTTTACAACGTGAGTACACTTGAGGGCCACCCTCCCATCAAGACAGGCCCCGTTCCCAGTGTCCTTGAATCCTCACGCAATCAATCACCTTTGCGTTTCATTCTCTCATCCCACTTCCCACGAAGAATAAAAACCAAACCACTGCTGCTGAGCTGATTCGGACACATGGCAGCCCCTGTGTGTTACGGAGCAGAACTGCTCCATGGGGCCTTGAGATTGACAGCACTACTGGCCAGCTGCTGCAGGGCATGGGCGGGTTCAGTCCACCACCATCCTTTTAGGCCCCTAGTGGAACACAAGCCATCTTCACTACCCAGTGACGTCCCCAAAGAACAGCTTGGCCTAACAATAGGGAATGTTTGTCAATCTTTTACTTTAACATACCGTCTCTACACTAAGACTGTATGTAAACACATACACACTAAACTTATGAAAGCCAATACCTGTGAAAGACGGAATCCTGTTGAAGAAGGAAATGCAAATATTTTCTACAAAAACTAAATAGATGGTAAGACTGCAACCTGTCAAATGCAGAAAACTTGCCAAAGTTGGAAAAAATAAGGCAGTTCTGTTGAGTTCTGGCTCTTACAGGTTTCACTGTAGGTATACATTTTAATATCCCTGTGACTAAACAGTTATAATCGTGTCCACCCACGTATGTGTGTGTAAACATTAGGTTTTGTACTGCTACCATAAATATCATAAACTGTGATTAAAAACATTAAACATGCGAACATACATTTTGTTGGGAGACAAGTAAAGAATAAGGGACAGTCATAAATGGAGCATAAGTCCTGGAAATGATCCAGTAAGAAATATGACATTGGCGGCCTCTCTCTTCATTCACTAGAGGAGACTAGCTTCACCCTCAGTTAGGCCGTGTGCTGCTCCACAGGTGAACAGCACTTATTCCCAGATGGAGACAGAGCTCAGCACCAATTGTACTCCTATTTTCTTTCTGATAGATGCAAACACTGAGAGGTCTTGTTCACATATTAGTACCTAACACATATCATGTGCTCACTGTGTGGCAAGCACCATTCTAAGCACTCTACTTGGTAATATCCAACTCTCACAACAGGCCTACGAAGCAGGTGCCTTTAGCACCCTCCTTTGACCAACAAGAAGGGATACCCCAAAGGGGGAACTAGCTGGCCCAGGCCACTAAACAGAGCTGGGATCTGGCCCCAAGCAGTTGGCTGCAGAGTCTGTCCATAGAGTGAAATTCTTCGTTGGTGCTGCGAGGTGCTGCTGAAACAATTTCAGCGCCTCAAGAGTGTATGTGACCAGATAAGATGCCTCAAGGGTTTTCATGGCTGTAATCTTTACGGGAGAATATTCACCAGGTCTGTCTCCCATAAAGCCATTCAAAAAGCCAAACTCACTTCCACCAAGTCGATGTCGGCTCATAGCGACCCTACAGGACAGGGCAGAACTGCCCCTGTGGGTTTCTGAGACTACTAACTCTTTCTAGGAGAGCCTAGAGAGCTTCATTTTTCTCCCATGGAGTGGCTAGTGGTTTCGAACTGCTGACCTTGAAATCAAAGCACCAACCTTTCATTTAGCAGCCAAGCACTATAGGTTGTGCCACCAGGGCTCCTACTACCGATCCTCCCATCAATAGCTGTGACTGATGGCGTTTTCTAGAGCAATGACACTCAATTCCTTGACTTCCTTCTTGGATATTGTGTAAAAGATGATGAAATGATTTGTCACTGGAAACTACGTTTAAAGCTCTGTCGGCTGACAACTGGACCCTGTTCTCCTTCAATTCTTTCAAAAGCCAAGAAGCAGAAACCACTTTCACTCAAAGATGATTCTGTCATGCTGTCACCAGAATGCAATTAGACAATGGTTTTCACTGTACGAAGTATGTTTGGATCCCTTGAAATCTTCACACCCACGGATAATACGGATTTTTTCTAGATGGGTCATTCTTTGATAAATGGGAAAAAAGAGTAACTGAGAAAAGGGAGGGGAACACCTACCCCCCCCCACACACACACACACACACGCACACACCACCCCCAGGTTCTTAAGCAGCTCAGTTTTACAACAGCAGGTACTGGAAGTTGGGATCCTTGTCTACAAAGCCCCTGAAGGTCTTTGCATATTGCCAGGGAGCTAAGCGCAGGCTGCTGCCCGATTATATCACAGGTATCTTCCTTTTCTTTTTTTAAAGATGTTAATTATCGCTGCTGGCTACAAGTTCAAATGCCAGGTAACCTTTAGAAGGAGCAAAGCAGCTATAGCAGTATTACCTGGGGAAGTGATTAACCTTTTGTGCTTCAGAGAGGGTGCGAAGTAAGAAGGGCTTCAGGTGGGATCCTGTCCACATGAGGTTATAATCAGTGCTACCTGGGTGAACCTGAGGGCACACAAGAAAAGGAGAAGGTGAAATAACGCCGGCAACAGCCTCTCTCCGGGAACAGCCACGGCAGGAAAAAGCACTGTGATTTTCGCCCCCAGAGCACTTTCAGTGGGGCCGAGGTAGGTATGAGCCTCCAGAGAGAAAAGCAGAGTTTCACAGTTAATCAAGGTATAGAAGTAAAACAAAGTCCAATATTCCTATCTGTCAAAATACAAGATGAGGACCTAACCCCCAAACTCTCCCAGACTGTCCTACATCCTCGTAAATTTGACTATACAGTTCCCATCAGAACTAGTCTCACAGTACGACTTTAGCCAACTCAGAACGCATCTGCTCACTTATGGGTTCGCGTGCTCGCTCAGCAATCGTGCTCTGCTGTTATGGGCACCAGGCTAAGCCACGGAGACCAAGCACGGACAAGAACTGAAAAGTGGACCAGAACTTTCTCCAAATGTCTATTTCAGACCCTAACCTAGAATAAGGAAAAGTCTAGCAATCAAGTACCTCAAAATATCTCTAGTGGCAATCGACAGAGCGTTCCTGCTGACGACGACATCCCCATTGGTCCCTCGGTCCCTTGATTTGAGGAACAGCTTACTCTTTGATTCTGAAGAACCTGCCAATCGCCCGCTCCAGGACCAAGCTAATCCCTTGTGAAGGATCCAGGATCCATCCCATCCAGCTTCAGTGCTGGGTTGGTAGGGACAGGCAATTCCGAATTTGGGTATTGAAATGGGGGAGTATAAAGGCATGAATTGGCTGGCCTAGAAACTTTATGAGTGTGCTCATAAAAGAAAAAATAATAATTTAAGATGGAAGGAGGGAAGTTAATCCTTCAGTAGAGAAGGGATAATGGCTAAAAGAGTTAGGGGATGACAGGCAGGGGGCAGTGAATTATCTGATGTGGCTCTTCCAGACAAAGTCTCTAGTCTCTAACTCCCACCAAATGTCCTTTCCCTGCATGGGTCCAGTGAGGTGGGGAAGACACTGGTAGGATTCACACGTGAGTCACTGCTAACAGGATTCCCTGGAATGCCATCCTACTGTGTACAAAATGAGGCCTATGAGAAGCAAGAGGGGGATGTTGGGAGGAATCTCATTATCAGAAAAAGCCAGGAGTGGATCACATCCTCCGGACCTGAGACCCCTGCACAGTGAACCTCCTGGATCCAGGTGACAGCTAGAGCATCAGAGGAACAGCAACAAGCCAGGAGTCAGAGCAGGGGCAGAATGATGGACTCCCCAACCCAGGGAGCCAGTAAAGCTGAGTGCTTTCGTGCAGGATCCGAGTGGGGGGCCTCTGAGCACTGAATTCGGGCAGTTGGACTTGCTGCCCCACGGAAGTGGGGCTGAGTGCCTTTGGGCTGGGACTTGCTGGAACGGGGTGCCCTCTGGAATGCAATTCAGGAAGCTGGGCTTACTGACCCACATTGTGGAGCTGAGTGTCTTTGAGTTGAGGCTTACAGCAGAGTAGAACGCTCTGTGGGCAACTGATAGCAAACTTGACAGAACTTTCTAACTCCTCCTGGTGACACGTCCAGAGTTCAGCCCTGAGCTTTTCTCGCTGGCATTACCACTTGTTCACTTTCTCAATAAACCCTGTAATTGTGAATTTTGTCTGTGAGTTCTAGTAGTCATTGCAATGGACAGCAGAACCCAAGAAGTAAAATAGGGAATATTAATTCAGAGACCTCAATTGGTTGACTAATCACATTAACCATTCTAATTCCAAAATGATTCTTGAGCAGGGAAGAGCACAAGGCCAATGAATGGAGTTCATGGCTTTCAGGGCAGGTCCTTGAGGCAGTCCTGAAGCTTCCTGGGGCTGCCCCATCTTCCTCCTTCCACTGGCCGGCTTCTCAGCCACCCTCTCATTCTAGTCCCCACGCTGTCCACACCCTTCAGACACACCCTTGTCATGTAAGTCAGCCAGAGTCCTTTTCTGCCGCTTGCCATTGAA